TTACAAATCCCATCCTTCTCTTCCAGTTTTTCCTTCCTGCTTCTCTTCTGCACATAACCACCTTACTGGCAGCGCCTACAGCACAGGGGAAATTAAGAAAGGCATGTCCCGATCTTACACTGCTGCTGCCAGTGGCTTTAGGAAGGTGGAAGAAAAGCATTTCTGCTTCCTCTCAGCCCCATAAAAGGGCGACAATAAGGCTGTAGGATGTGCTGTGGAAACTAGGAGTCTGTGGGAAGGCTTCTTGCACTATGGTAATATTAATACATCATTATGAGAAGTGCCCAAATGGCTGATTAACTGTCAAATTGTGATGCTGTGCCTGTGCATGATGGTATCGGGGAAAAATGCAGCAAGGAAAACTAATTAAAATACTAACTGGAGTTTCGCAACATGTCTTTGGTTTTTTATCCCCTCTTCTTTTTCTGTTTTTTTTTTTTTTCTCCTTTTCATTTCCTTCCTTGCCCTTCATTTTCCCTCTTTATTATTTATAAAATTCCCTTTTATCATTTCTTCTCATGTAGCTTCTTTCATTTCTCCTTTTCTCCTAGCCCCTCTGTGCCCCATATTGCATTTCCCTTTCTGTTCATCAGATCTTTCCCCAGATCCTGACACCTCATGGGAGCTGTCATTCAAGGGCTTTAAGGCCAATTTTACAGTTTTTCCTCTCTTGTTCTTTTCTTATCTGCTTCACAGGGGTAGGGACTGTTGCTCTGACTGGCAGAGCATTCCTGTTGTTGCTGCTGCTGCTGGTGGAAATTAAAAAATCAACTTGCCTGAAGGGACCCTACCAAGGTCCAGCTGTGTATTTGCAGTGTTTGACACACAGGTTAGGTGCTTCACTGAAAAGCTATTTGAATGCAGTCACTATGTAATGTTTGTGTATAAGGTGGGAATGAAGATGGTGCAGGGGATGCAGAGAGGGAGAAGAATTAAGCTGACTTTCTAAAGGTACCATCACAAAAATGCTGTTTAACTGAGGAGAGGAAGAGACCCCTGCCTCTTTCATAGATATGAGGTAAGGCACGTTCCTGGAGTTGTTGGTTTGGATTTTCAGCTATGATGGGGCAGCTGTTATGTCATTTGCTGACACTAATTTCTGCAAGACTTGAGCTAACCTTGTTTCTGAAGAAGCCAGGCTCAGCCTGGCAGCTCCCAGTTTTTCAGTGGCCAGGAGGGCTCTGTGGCGCCAGGACAGGCCTCTGAGCCAGCCCTGTTTCATCTGTGCTCCCACCAGCCCTCCCATAGTGGGGCCCATGCGCGTGGGGCTCTGGAGGGGCCTTGGCAGGGCTGCTCCCAGCTCACCAGGCCAAGCTTGGCAAGAGCCACCACACAGCCCTGGGCAGCCTAGGCTTGTGGCTGCCTCCACAGTTGCAAGTGGTCAAGGTCAGAGGGAATGAATAGGGTCTTTTTTAAATCGGGAATTACTCCTTACATCTAGGAATTCTCTGATGACAGGTCTTCCTAGAAGGCTCTCCCTGTCAAAAGCAAGCTTATTACCAATGCAGTTTATTCCCTTCTATTGGGCTGAACCCCAGAGCAACTGAGTTAAATTGACATCACTGGGTGTTACCCAAAGAATGAAATTATTTGGAATTAGAGTGCCTATTCTCATCCCAAACAGTTTGTTTTTAAATTCAAAGATAAATTTAATGCACTCTTAAAGCTGCCATGCTGCAGCCAGAGGATGAGCTCCTGCTCCAGATGCAGGAGCCAGAGCCGCCTCCATCAGCTGCCTGTGGTACCCCTGGGGAGCTATGCTGTGAGTGTCAGGGCTCCCCAAAGTGTGGGGCACAGACTGCATGAGGCTCGCATCCCATACGAACAGTCAGAGACTTCCCAGCCTTCAGGAAGTTAATAATCACTTACGAACTCAGAAGTTTTTAATGGCTTTTAAACTCAAATTTAATTTCACTTTCAATCAAGTTGTGTCAAATTTAACTAAAGATTAGGTGACAGGCAGTCAGGCTGAACTGCTGCTCTGTACCTCTTCATTTTGCTTTCTTGCCAGCCTCGGGTGAATAGGATTATTTTTTTATTTTATGTTGCATAAAGGTAGGGGTGAGCGTGCTCAAAATATCTGCATTCCCTAAAGCCTTCGTTATGCAAGTAAACAAAGATCACCAATGTAAAATGCCATTGTCTGACATTTGCAGTGCTAAATATCTGATTTTGTGTGGGGCAAAAAAATGCTTGGTTTTTTTTTACTGATGCATAGCTTAATTTTTAAGTTATTTTCTGCCTTTCCCTGTGACTAGAAAAAGGATGTTGGAGATGACAGAGAAACTGGAAAGTCTTTGAGGTTCAGATTGGCATGTATAAATCATATGTCTGAACCTGAGTCAATCCCCTAGGATGATTTTCCCTGAGGCTAGATTGGTGGGCATCCCTGTTTCCTTTTTGATTTTTTTTTTACTTGCTTCTGTAATGTGGGTCATAACCAGCTTCCTAGGATCATCTGAACATTTTTACTTAGCAAACTTAGTGCCTGTGCCCTCAAACATCTCTCTGTTCTCTTCCCCTGGTGCACTATATTTTGTATGGTTTTCAGCCTGTTGTACTAAAAGCAATAAAGGGAGTGTTGACAAGCATTTTGTGTTTTATGGCTCGGTAAGCATAGGATATGGGCGTTCATTGGACTCCTCAAGGCAGAAATGTCCATAGCATGACTGCTGGTGGGTGCTGGGGACCAACCTGAGTGGTCTCTTCCTCCAGCCTCTCCCACAGAGGGTTGCTTTCTTATAAGAACCTGACAAAAAAATATTTTAATAGTGCCTTGCAGAGTTGAACTTCTATATTTCAGAGAGTCCAGACCATTGCTCCCACTCTCAGAGCTACTGTTTTAAAACAAATTATGCTATGTCTTTTTTAATTCTAGGTGAGCTTTAATTGTAGCCCCTGTTGCATCTTTTTTGCTCCTGTTCAGAGGAGAGACTGTTTCACATACAACTCATGATGAGTTTTTTGCATTTAACCATTATTTCCTTAGTTTGAAAGGTTGTCTTACTATGTGCTTTCTCATGCTACGTGCTTTCATATGCACCTTCTTTCTTTTCCTGGTAATTAGGTGCCTCAAGCTGGTAGCAGGTTCCCGGCTGTTCATCTGTCTAAGTGAGCTATCCTGAGTGTGAGCCTGGAGTTAAACGGAAACAACTCTGTTCTCTTCACTAATGTGATCTTACATCAATTCACCAGTTATTATTTCCTCTTGTCAAATGAAGCAATAGCAAAGCTTTGAAATGATGCTGCAGCTTTTCCAAAGAACAATTTCCCTCTCTTTCTCTTGCCTCCTTCTGCCTTTCCCTCTATATTTGATAGTACATCAGCTTCCTCTTGAAATGATCCCCAGTAGAGCACTTCAGCTCTTTCAACAGGGCTTTTTCTGCAACTATTTTTTAAAAACTAGCTTCTACAACAGAGTTTGGTTATAATGAAGGACAATTAAAAAAAAATCCTTCTGCATTGGAGAGCCAGTCTTGTACACACTAATACATGTGGTGAACTGTGCCTGGAATACCCCCACTGGATACAGTCAGTGGAATTGTAAGCACACGCAGAGTTAAGCACCTGCGTAAGTGCTTGCAAGGTGATGGCTTTAAATCTCACTTGAAGCTAAAAAGATATGTGTTGCAGTGCAGTAGAGACTAAACCAAGACAACTCGCATTCTTTTTTATTATTATTATAATTATCTGTGTTTCTGAAGTGGCTGTAATTTAGCAACACATGTAGTGAAGAGAACAGTGATGATCTTCCAAAGAATTTCTTCACCTCACTTCAATACTTGTCAACACTTTGATCTAAGCAGGATATTCAGGAGACTGAATATCTGGGCAATTTCCCAGTGATACTGAGTGGATATCTGATGTGACAGAAGATACCAAGGGCTACAGGATTTAATCCATGCACAGGTTTTTGGTTTCTTAAATGACATAACCAAAACCCCTCCAGAGTTATTTTCTTGCTGTTACTGCAGGATCAAATTTGGACTTAGTCTGCTCCAGTGTTTCTCTTTGATGTAATTGCCTAGGAAATCATAGAACAGTAGTCTTCTGAGTTGACAGGATTTGAAATGCATATGGGTTTGAAAATAAGGACCAGATAAAGACTGTAACAGTATCTTCAATACCTTTGTCTCAGAGGAGCAGTTCTACATGGAGTTGTTTGCAGATGCGAGTGGAGCAGGAGCAGCCTGTCTTGGTGGCCCAAATCTTCACATAAATCAATGGAAATACTGGCATGAACAGCGTATGTTTAATGAAGTCTGCAGTTTTTACAGCATTTCTGTACAAAGCTTCATGGTGAACTGAGTGATGACTTAGGATGCAATAGGCTATTCACAATATCACAGGGTTTTCCTGGAGGTGTTGCTAATACCTATGCACCATGCCAATCTAGAACAGCTGAAAAAAAAGGATGCTTGGAAAACTGGAAAGATTTTTGTTCAGTGACATGTGGTGTCAATGAATTGTGCAATAGGAAGTCCATAAGCATGGATTTTTCTGGAAAATGGATGAGGCAGAGGAGAAATCACGCCTCTTTGAGCCTTTTTTTTAGACTCTGAGCATCTTTTGGTATTCATCATCATTTTCAGTTGCTGTTTTTTAAGATGTGTCTCTAAACAGAGGACTTAGAAAATATCTTTTTCAAGGGTAGACTGAAAAAGGATGGGAAACTTTATGAAGCAAAAGTTAACAGCTTCCAAATACAATATAGGCAAGTTAATAAACACTGAGTGGTAGGTCATAAAATTCCTTTCAGATTTATATAAGAAAACAATACATTGTATAAAATCATAGAATATATGACCTTTCTTCCTTTAAAAACCTCCACAATTTAAAACATAATATTTGGAAATACTATTTCCTAAACAAAGAATGACATACTGTTTAACTAAAGGAAATGTAGTTTGGTAACAAGGGTTTCAGTGCTTGTTTTTCTTCATTCCCTCTTTCTAGGACAGTTGCACTGACTTAAATGAGTTCACCTAGCCCTGGTCGTGATGGAGAAGGAGGCAAGCCAACTCAAGGGGTACCGTGTTCATAATGTAGATGAGAAAATTGCTCCTTACTTCAATGACACATGCCACAAGGCATGGCCAACGGTGCAACAGTTCGTTTCAGAGCAGGAACCAGGCAGCCTGATTGCTGGTATTGATGAGTGGGGTCGTTTATCACATTGCTAATGACAATCTAAGTCCTCTCTTTCTATCAAGCAATATTTGTGGCAGAAGAGTATGGAGCCTGTGAATCAAACTGTGGAATCAAAATGGCCAAATTGACTATCACATTTACCTCCTACATTGCTCCACTGTTCATAGGTATATAAAGACAATTTGACTTTTCCCAGTATCCAGCAGATGAACTAAACTGAAGCGCTGTTGCTGCTAATTTTGTTAAAATGTCATTAACGGATGCTAATGTTTGTGTATTGGTTTGATAATTCTGGAATTTGAAATCTTGTTTAGCATTAGAACATGTATTTTGTATGGATGATTTGAAGCAAGTATCGTGACACTGCCCTGAGTGCTTTGGGAAACTATGTGAGTCCCCAAGTTTTTAAGATTGTCTAAATAATATGAGGGAAGCCTCTGTACTGGTTCAGCCACTGCACCAGAAGTAGGTACATGCTGATTGCCCTGATGAGATCTGGGCATTAACTCATCATTTCTACATGTTCAGGTTTGGTGTCTAAACAGCTTTTTGGACCTGTAGTCCTTTCCAGCAACACACATGTAAAATGTTTGTAAAAGTGAAAAATTACTGAGTGTTGGGCTAATCACACTAACTTCTGGGATGTCATTCAAACTTCACCATATACTTTTCCCAATACATCACAGTCTAAAATAGTGAGCACTGTATTCCTACCAGATCTGGGTGGATTCTGCAGTATTTTCAATGTGAACAAATGAAACACATACAAAACACCAGCACATTGAATTTTTACCAATATCACGGACTTTAGACTTCATTAATGCTGCAATTTAAGCTTGGCTCCTGGGCTTTGGCCTCCAGAGGCTGTTGGCACACTATTGTGGTATCCGTGGCCAGAGACGAGTTCCCTGTGAAACACAGCTGCCAACAGTGGAACCTCAACGCTGGAGAGGAGTCTATCTGCAGGGCTGCCCTCTGCCCCTCTGTCCTGGTTTTACTCACTAAACCACGACACTCCATCCCTGGAAGCAGCCTCTGGTGTTAGATTAGAGGAAATTTACTTAGTAGCTGTTGTTTGGCTTATACTGGAGCCTTGCCCTCCAAAAGTGAAAACTAGAAAAAGTCCTGGAGTTCTCTCCCAGTCAGAGCTCCAGGGGAGTCCTCTTTCTCCTTGGAAAATAGAGTAAAATATTAACCAAGTTCTAGCACAGTTTCACAGCACCTCTTCTCAGCTGATGCTGAAGTCAGGCATGGGAAGGACTGAGAGAGCCCCAGCTTTTCTCTGGATTTCTTTCTTTCATTCCCAGGAGATGGGATCAGCAGTTAATATTAAACAAGCAGTTCAGAGCAGACTGCTATCTGCAGCTCAGCAATTATTCATCTCCTATTCAAATTGCACAAGAGATTGATGGGGCTAGGAGGCTTCTTGCAGAACATAGGGACCCACATAGGGTTTCAGAATACGTGCTATGGCATGGCTGTAACTTAAGTATTGGGACTTAAGTATTTGGAAGACTACACAACTACAATTAAAAAAAAATAATTAGAGATAAAATCTGGGCTCTGACCCAAGCTTAATGTTTGATGTAAGCATAGACATAAACATGATGTGAACTAAGGTCTGCACGAGGTACAGGGTATTATGTTAGCCCAGTGCACTTACCTCCCTGATCTTAATCCGAACTATGATTTTTATGATGCAAGTGAGAAAGCAAGGTTTCAAAGTCAAGACACTTCTCTAAAATGCACTTGGTGTTAAGATCCAGATAATTCTGCAAACAAATTATCAAAAATTTAGCTAAGAACCATTTTACTGCTGACATTAAAATTGTTCGTATCTAAAGATGTCTGCCTTTGTTTCAACACAAGAAGTATTTCAGTTTGGGAAGATGTAAATTTCTGTGTCAGGCTCCATTATGAAAAGGAAACTTCGTGGAGATACCAGAAAAAGAAATTCCGCTGTTGTCATGGTGACAGCAATTAGCAGCAGTTAAAACAGCAAACAATGGATTTAATGGTTTGGTCTAATAGTGACTTAATTACTTAGCAGTCTAGTTTGTCTATCAGCATTTCAATACACAGGAATAATTCAGTGCTGTGCTCCCACTACATAATGCTTTCACTTAGCATTTCGAGTCTATTACAAACAGAATTGCAGTAGCATCATTATCATAAATATTTTTGATCCTGTATGTGGTGGGAAGGCCAAGGTAAATGCTCTCTAGCAATCCCACTTGAACACCTCCTGTCACGCAGCAGAGAGCCTGCTAGACAGAAAGGAGCAGCCTGTGCTCATTGTACTGTGATGGTAAAAAAATAGTCTGAATTCCACTGCAATTGTATCATCTCCTTAAAATAGGTAGAGAATTTCAAGCCATTAGGCCAGACAAGGGCGTACATCGTGGCTTGTGTCAGGAATACATTTTCTTTTGCACAGACACCAAATGTCCGCCTTTCTTTCTCCTCCTCATTATTTCCTCAGGTTGCCGAAATGGCAAATACCTTCACATCAGTTCTCAAATCTATGAACTGGGTTGCAACTTCTGTTTCCCATTGGTGGAATCAGCACAAAATGAAGGCCATCGATAAATGTTATGCCGTAGCTTGTATCTGCCTTATCAAAGTGAGTGCTTTGATGCTGTCCTGTCCATTGCTGGTAAGTTCTGCGCACTGCCAGTGTCTATAGGTCAGACCTTTAAAGGGTCTAAAGCATTTAATTTCTTCTAGGTTTGGGGTTTTTCAGTGACCTAACAGAATATTTTGGGTTTTGTAGACCAAGTACATCTGTACTAACATAAGAAATGTATATCGTTGCAAACTCAGTGAATAACTGCAAAACGGGTAATGAGCGGTTTTATTCTGGTCCAAGCACAACTAAAGTACAATGTGCAAAACAGGAAGGAAGAGCCTTAATTTTGCCTTATTACATGGCAGAAATTTGAAATGTTGGCTCTATCAGGAGGAAGATACAACAAAACTTGCTTAGGAATACTGAGTGTATCCAAAGCTCACTATGAAATCCTGTACCTTTCCAAATGCAGTTTTTTACTCCTGTGTTCCATGGTTTGTCAGCCAACACCATCATTTTTGTGCTGATGAGGATGACCATGACACTGATCCAGCTGGACAGCAACCAGCAAAAAGAATGGTTTCTTTTAGTCGAATCAGTTACTCATTGCCTCATTGCTGATACGGGTTTCAGCAAGAGCAGGGGATAATGCAGAGAAAGAACAAGCAGCCAATGACAAAGCAGGCAGAAGTGCTTCTTTCAGTGGTGCCACTGCCTTAAAGTGTTCATCAAATAACCTCAGATTTAATTTCTTGTAGGATACTTTTGTTTAATTGCCCTTTTCAATGTAAATTAATGATGGAGGAACTACCAGTCTTTGCAACTTTTAAAGAAGAAATTGAATGATAGGTTTAGCCTTTACTGTTTTCTCTTCTAAATTCTGAAGGTTCTTTTGCTTTGGGAGTCTTGAAATTACTCAACCATCTTTTAAAAGTTAAGTATTAAGCTTATACTGATTAAAAGTTGGACAATACTGTAAATAAAACATATTACAGTGCTCATCAAACTTTATTCTCTTTTTCTCAATCAAAGAAGTGTGAAAGTCTCTAAGCCTTGTTAAATCAAAGCTAATACCTCACATCTCTTGAAATTATTGAGTAGCCCTACACAGCCTCTTCTCCCTGTCTCAGGTGACCTTTCTTTGAGCCCTGAAGGACTTTACTTTTCAAGTCTAGGTCCATGTCATGTAATTTGACATTTGATGGAAGTTTGAGCCTGCATTATTGTCTCTGGTACACCATTATACTGGGCTGTGAAGCATGCTCAGCTACACTGCCTGAAAAATCTTTTAGTCATGATTTAAGAAACATGAGCAATAGCTAACAGGCCTTATTACTGAGTTTTCACATCCTTTGCCCAGGTGGAGTAACAACCATGGTGAGCCCAAAGGTGATTTGGCTTTCTCTGGAAATCCAGGGTAAGGAAGCGAAGAACAAGCCAAATCTGTTGAGAAGGGTATGTGGCAATGTTCAGAAGTTATCTGACCCAAGGCAGTCTTTGCCCCAGGAGCCCTTGTGAACAGTCTACAGAAAAGCAGATTGGCTGGGCTGAAGTTGCAGCTAGAAATGCAGAACTACAGACCTTCCTATCCACCGCAATCTGAAAGCCCTGTCTGCATGGCTGCTGTGAGAAGCTAGAATTGGTGAGTAATCCAGAAGGACACTTCGGCCACAGGTGCAACTGCATAGTTATGGACTGTGGCCCTTTCAGCACTTACATGGCTGCAAATAACAGTGTTAATTCTGTTACAGCCTTTACCATCACAGATCATGCATGAACCATAGTAATGATCATGTATCCCTATTATTGCTGAAAAATATTGTTCAGATGCATTATAAAGCTTCAAATAGTATGTTGAATTATACTATATACTAGTATATAGTATAATACTAGTATAGTGCATATATAGTGTAGTTTCGGTAAGCATATGTTCACTTAATCTTCAGGAGATTGTCAAAGGAGGCAAGAAATTTCTGTGGGTGTTCTAAAGCCAGGTCTGTAGTAGGAAATATTGGCAGAAGAGTGTCAAGCCTAACTTGATGATTTTTCCTTGTACTCAACACCTACTGTGTATACATATATAATTAAGGATTTTTGCCAGTTGTGTGAATGGAATAACCAATACTGACAAGAAACAAATCTGAACATGATGTATCAGTAAAAGTTTAGAATACGCTGCTTTCGAATGCTTAACTTTATGTTCAAGGAGACAGATTTTCCCTGTGAATATGCAGTTAATTCCACAATGTTTTTACTACCTTAAGAAAGAAATCGTACTCACTTTCCCAGTGCATTCATAGCATAATTTGATTTGAGATTTAATATCATTGAACAACAGAAATCATCCCCTTTGTCCTATAGTGATGGCTTTGTTATTGTTAGCATGATGAAGCCATTCCTGTATTATTGAAATAAGTAGGATTTCTGCCACATGCAGTAAGGGAAGGAGGACTGGCACTTATGTTCCCACTTTGGCTAAGGAATTGTTCCAAATCATAATGCAGGACTGATTTTTTTATCATTACTTTACCTCTAACAAGGTGGCTTTCTCCTTTATATGGAAAGTTCATGTTCTGTGTTAATGAAACCTTGTATATGCTGAGCTCTTGGACTTTGAGATGGGCAAGGGATAAGAAGAAGCTTTTTCTATTAATTTAGACAAGTAATTTCTTTCCTTCAAATGCAAAGGTGAAGACATCACATTTTCCTCTCCTGTCAGTAGTCAGATACTCCAGTCAGTGAAGTTATTTTATATTACTAAAATACCTGATCAGACTTTTCATCCCAGTGGGGAAAAAAGAGTTCCTTGAGCGAAGAGCATCAAATGACTTTCCTAGGTTCTAATACCAATATGTGAAAATTAACTTTGCTTTAATCTGTGATCTTTTAGTCATACGGTAATTTAACAGAGAAAGTGAGTAAAACCAAAGGGACATAAACCTGCCTAGACCTCTAATTTACATTGTCTGAGAAAATGGTCTGCGTAATAGCATATTTCTTGATAGAAAGATAGTATAATTCTTGAAGTTTACAAGGTGGAAGAGTCTCCTGGGGAAAAAAGAAGTCCAAATGAAAGGTCCAGGAGAGTTTCCTGACTATATAAACTTGTGTCTTCATGGTAAAATTCAATGAGACGCTGAGCAAGAAGAAACCAAGTGTTACCAACAGATCATATCACTGTAGTTATATTGCATTGTCATGCCAATTAATATGGGCACGACATCGCAATGCCATCAAGACATAGTTTCTTTAGCTCATAAAAATAACGTCATATTTTTGTGCCACCCTGGTTATTTCTGCATAACAACAAGATAGGTACAGCATCACTACCTGCCAGTTCTCCTAAATTCTGTTTTGCCTAAGGATCAATCAGGATTATGTTCTAACAGGTTTGTTTTTTTACTTTTGCTAACAAAAAGGCACTGTGGTCAGAAAATTACATTCCTTAAAAGAAGCAATATTAAAGGCACAACAAGCAACCTGTCCCAGTGGAAACAGAGTATAATGAGGTCTGGTATAGCAGCATCAGGAACTCTTTAATGCCATAGAAATTGAAAAGAAATCATCAAAAAACATGACTATGAATAATTATAAGCGATGATGTAAAGAACCAGTGTCAGGATGACTACAGCATAACATGAATTAGAACTAGGATAAGGTTTTATAAATGCATCCAAAGCCAGAGGGAAACAAAAAGGAAGGAAGAGCAAGTAGATGACATTGAAAGTTCTATTTTTCTTTGGTCTTTACAAAAAGTTAATAGGTGTCATCAATATGTTAGTAGAATTTTAACCAGAGGACAGGAGTTTAGACTATAAAAAGGAAATAACATCTTAAAGAATATTAGATAAATTAGGTTACACCAATTGTTAGGAAATCATTAAATTAATCTTAAACTACTTTGAACTAGCAGATTAAGACCTCCAGCAAGTGAAGAAAAGCAAACTTAACACTTGTTTCCAAAAGAAAGAGAAAGGACATCAAGAGGAAGCCAGTCTAACAGATTTATGCAGGGATACTAGAATAAATAATTTAAATAATCTAATTTAAATAGAATACATTATTTAAGCCTACAGAATTCTAATGTAATGGGAAGCAGTCAACATGTATTTGTCAGGAGCAAGCCAATCTGTTTTCTGCCTTTGACAGGAAAATCATCCCAATAGACAGGATAGCAGGAGAAAGCATTATATATCTTGACTATATTGTCATTGTTTCAAGTAAGTAAATGGAGCTAAGAATATGGAAAAAGAAATCTTTCTCAAAATGGATCAGTGGTTCACTGTCCAATCAGGACACATTTCAAATGGGATGCTCTTGGGACCCACCCTACATCTGCTTCTATCCTAAATTTTAATTAATAACTTTGATGGAAGGCCAGAGAGCATACTGAGCAATTTGTGAATGGCTTCTATGTAGGAAGGGAAGGAAATGTCCCTTCCTTGTGTTGGGAAGAAAACATTCAATGAACAAAGTGAGAAATAATGGCCAGCCAAGATGGACCGCAGGCCAAGTATGTGTGAGTAGTGTTATGAAACCAGGCAAATACCTGTCTGGGGTATGGTGACAGAGCATTTTCGTGGAAGGCAGAAGAATGAGACACCCTCCTGCGCTTCATGCATTTTTGATCCTACGTGGAATATCATACCTGCTTTGGGGGACCATGCATTGCAAATTTTGCAGTCAAGATGGAGACATGTTAAATAACTGATGTTTAGAAAATCTGAATTATTAGAGGACGCTGAAGGAATGGTGTTTTGTTAGTAAAAAAAAAAAAAGAGACTGAAGGAAACATAATAGTCTTCAAATACAAAAATACTTTTTTTAAAGAAAGCTGATCTTTATTTGACATGGAAAGAAAAAAAATATCATCTTACACTGCAGCAAAGGTTATTTACCTTAGATACAAAAAGGCTTTTATGAGCAGATTAGACCAATTTGGGTCACATTTGAGCCAAGTGTTTAATTCTGCCTTGGAGCTGGAAAATGAACGACCTCTATTTTTCTGTATCTGTTTTAATGTAAAGGCCACCTGGCCTTTTTGAGAAAAACCCATTGACTCTCCTATAACCGGTTGCTGCCTGATG